TATAAATATGAAGGCTTCTGATAGGTGATAATCCTGTGATATAGACAAGCTGAGTGCAATGCCCGACGATTACACATATTCAACCAATTCAAATCAAGCAACCGGTGACCAACATGCTGTCGCCGTCTAATTCCGAAAATTAACCGCAAACACGAATTTTGCACCTTTTGTATCTTTCTTTTAGACAGATAGGAAATAAAAGATGAATAGACAGCATCGCAATAATTGAAATTCGATAACACCAATGATTCACATAGCATAACTTTCGTTTTTCTATTTAAAAAGTGTCTGCTATTATAAATTAATTTTAAATTACAATATGCACGTTGTGTGCATTTATTAATAAACTCTGCAAACTTAAGGCCGCTGTCAATAATTAACCCAAGGCTTTTTACTACTTCGTTAAGAGGGACATATGTATTATCTACAGAAATTTTAAGTTGAGCAAGTATATTTTGTCTTTGCCGTTGAGGTGCAAAGAGAATCATTTCAGTTTTCGCAGGATTAATCCGAAGACTATGACGTCTAGAGCAATCGGCCACACTCTGCAGATCCTCATTAACACGCTCACAAGCAAATCGCACATCGTCCGGCCGAAATGAATAATACAACTGAGTATCATCAGCATAAAAATGAGACTTGCAATATTTTATGTATGTAACAAACTGACTCGTATATATAGTATAAAGAAGAGGTCCAAGTACCGAACCTTGCGGAACACCGGATGACAAATAGAGAGCATCTGAGGATTCATTTTAAACAATTACTCTCTGCTGACAATTTCTTAAGTAATCACGTAACAACGCGCTTGCCATGTCGTCCAAACCAACAAACTTCAAAATAGAAAACAACAAATCGTGATTAATGGTATCAAAGGCTTTTGAAAAGTCTAAAAGGCATAATACGGTCGCATTTCCCCTGTCTAGCCCAGAAACAATATCATCAACAACATGAAGTAGCGCACTGGTACAGCTATATCCAGAAGAATTTTTTCAGCCACCTTAGACAAAACTGGAAGAATGCTTATAGGCCTTAAATGAGCAAACTCAGTAGGATTGCTAATTTTCACCAGTGGTTTAACCAAAGCACACTTCCATGCGTCTGGGAATACGCTATGGTTTATACAAGTATTAAGTATATGTATGAAATAATCTATAATGTGTGGGCATGATAGTTTTATTAATGCAATATTTAGATTATTAATATCTGCAGCATTACTTTTAATTGAAGAAATTGCAGTAATAACATCACACTCCGTAACCGGACTAAAAGAAAATGTTGACTGAACAAGTCTATTATTTAGATAAAAATGATAAAGCGCATCATCCAGCAAAGTCACATTATCAGATACAGAGTCTATAAAAAATCTGTTGATTTCGTTTGGACGACAAAGACTCGCAGGTATCACGGTGGATTTAGAATTATGTGCACCTAATGACCTTAAGGCTTTCCAAGTGTCCCCGTTTACCCCTCGCATCCGATGCTCCAGAAAGGCCTTCTTCTCCCTATCTATTGCTGAATTGGTAACGTTTCTCATATCCTTATAGTATTGCCAAGCCACCTTGGTTCCGTACCTCTTAAACCTTGCAAAAGCATCGTCTCTAGTTCTCTGCATAAGCCTAACAGTGTCCGTCAACCAAGGGGCTGGCGCCCTATTAAATCTGCAACGCTTAATAGGAATGTGTTCATTAATCACCGACAATAAACATGAGATAAAAAAATTGACTTTATCATTAATATTATCATAATCAAACATTTTAAAAAATGGCAATTGTTGCAAATCATAATAAAAGTTATTAAAATTAAAATTTTTGAAAGAACGAATAGTTTTAATTTGTGGATATTTCTTTGGAACTGAACACCTAATTTCACAATACGTTAATTCATGGTCGCTAATACCATGAACATTGACGACACCCTTCTGCTGCACAATGTTAACGTCTGAAACACAAATAACGTCTATAAGAGTTTGGGATGAATCAGTAATTCTGGTAGGCACATCTATCAACTGATACAAGCCAACCGAAGTGATCATATTCAAAAACGTATCAACCGCAACTGAGTGTGTCAGCATGTCCATGTTAATATCACCCATCAGAACAACCTTATCATATCTTGGCAAAATATCCGACAACGTATCCTCAATGATATCAATAAAAGAAGAATAGTTAAATGTTGGAGGTCTATAGACAATTCCAACAGCCATATGCATCTTATTGACAATTACCGAGATCCAGATCTGTTCAATAGCAT